AAAGTGTACTGCATGGAGTGCCTTTGGCTGTGAAAAGGCCAGTATTCTGGCAAATTTTAAAGATGTAATTTACACAATGAAGTACACACCACCAGTCTCTGGAGCAAGGGCCACCTCACAGTTACTGTCAGGAGCATTGATGGGAGGATCAGTTTTCCGAATGTGATCAGCTGTACCAGAAGAAAACAACAAAAAACATTCACAACATTTTCAACTTGTCCCAAGGCTAGTGGCACAATTTTGCCTCCCTTATTACCAGCCTGAAATGGCCCAAACTCACTGTTTAACGTCAGTATAACATTGTAATGGTTCTACGGTAATGAAGTACATTGTTCAAAAAGTATACAAGAGATGCTCAAAAAGCTGACTGACACGGAGTGTCCACATAAATTAAATATCAAACAATAAGAGATTTTCCAAACCCAACTGTGGACAGTCCAATTACTTGCAGTTATCTATAAGGTGTCATATAGATGATGAAAGCAAATAAGAATGCTTGCTGTAGAAGCAGATCATTAAAAAAAGAAACAAGCTGGTTGGCCACTGACAACACACTCAGAACAAACCGCTTCCAAGCACAGCCTTACTAAGACCAATAATTTAGTGTAGTTTATACTGCTTTACACAAATACCGTATGCAATCAATTTATTTCCATGTCAAAAATCAAATGAGTGGTTGTGGTTTGATTGTTTCCCTGATATATTCTTTGTTTGATACATTCATAAGTGCCTAATCAATGTAGATATTCAATATATCTTGAATGAAACACTATACTGACGCTTATTAGACTGGTTCCTGATTGATCTTGGCCTTGCATAGACAATGTTTCCATTAATGTCTCTCTTTCTCCAGTGCACCCTTGGTTCAGGTGTCTTTACTGGTGCTGTTTCCTCCTCTTCCTGCAGCTCACCAAGCAAGTCATCAAGACTTTGGAGCTCATCATTGAGTTCTTGATGATCAACCAATTTATCCAGCTTCATAAACTGTTCTTGGAGTTCTGAATCACTCATGCTGATGATGGCCAGAAACACAGACAGACAAAGACTCACAACAAAGATGAACAGATACGACAGCTACAGATGTAAACAGAGAGAGATAGAGAGAAAAGCAAATAAGAATGCTTGCTGTAGAAGCAGATCATTAAAAAAAGAAACAAGCTGGTTGGCCACTGACAACACACTCAGAACAAACCGCTTCCAAGCACAGCCTTACTAAGACCAATAATTTAGTGTAGTTTATACTGCTTTACACAAATACCGTATGCAATCAATTTATTTCCATGTCAAAAATCAAATGAGTGGTTGTGGTTTGATTGTTTCCCTGATATATTCCTTATTTGATACATTCATAAGTGCCTGATCAATGTAGATAACAACAATAATAAATTAGTCGTCTGGTGTTGCATGAACGCGATTGGCTAGCGTCTGCGCTAGGGTATTTGCATAAGGTGATCTGATTGGCTGACGCCTGCGTTGGCGCTTGAAAAGTTTTTAGGCTTGTTTGAGATGCACCTTGCCTTGCCTGAAATGAAGGCGAGAGTAGGCGGCTGCAGTGAGGGGAGGAGTGAAATAAGCACAGGCAAGACGGACAGTTCTGACCTCTAGAAGTGAACAGATACCTACGAGATCAAAGGCAGATATCGCGTTATTCTCACTTACATGCTCTGTTGCTAATCTACAACAAAAGTTGTTGGAGGCAATGGCTGGTAGAATCCAGCAGTCATGGCACCTCGGTTATGGAGAACATGTCTGGTGTGCATGCTGACATCACATTCAGCACAGAAGAAGGGGTGTGGTTGACAGTCACAACACCGGACAGCAGCTGGATTGCTCCCACACTGTTGGCAGATGTGTGTTGCCACATTTTCTTGTGCCGCAGCGGTGTTCACCAGACGGGGTCTCTCTGCCCTCCACCTCTCTGAAAAGAGACTTTGTCGTGTGCTCCAGTTCGAGGAAGCTCGGAGAGGATCTCTTGAGGTTCCAAGAGGTGATGCCAACAGATACCTACGAGATCAAAGGCAGATATCGCGTTATTCTCACTTACATG